TCAAATGGAATTTTTGAATTTATACACTCACGGTGACCATGATTTAGGTTAGTGTAATCAAAATTGACGAATACCAAGCATCAATTTTAATCACGTAACCTGTTTTGACACTGAAAAATGAGCATCGAGCATCAGCATGAAAAAGCAGCCTAAGTGTTCACTTTATTTGAGTGGGAAAAAAGGACTAATATGGATTGTGGAATAAATGCATCCATGTAATATAATTATTTATTAAAAATAATTAAATGTAAATGTGTGTCGATAATAATAATATTATAATTAATCATATTAATTGTTTCAATAATTAAATATAATTGATTAGATCGAGGTAAACATCGTTGATTACTGCCGGACTCACATCACATTGAACTGATTTGGCAACAAAAATTTATACACAACATCGAGCATTTTTATTAGTTCTTTTCGAAATGATAAATACTAGCCATTTGACATATGATCCATATACATCAATTATTGACAAGTATGATACACAGGTTATAAATCTCGTGATCGTATCCATATCAACAGGCGGTCCGAAATAAAATCATTGATAGCGCGATGACGATCATTAACATCGTGAGAATTGTGAGCACTATGGGTGTGAATCGGACCGCAACCACAGTGTAATGGCTCCGGTACACCAGATGTTAATCGCGCGCGACATCCAATGACAATATACTTTAGAATGAGAATATCGATAAAATTGTACACTCATGATGAACATCGCGCTAGTGTGTGCCGGAGGCATAACACTGGCCTAATTTCCATCGAGGGTTTAATCCGGATCATAATGTAAGAGCCAACCAACTACAGTCGAGCATACTCCTGACGTTCGACTATAACAGGGGAATACTTGACTGTAGTTGGTTGATTCTTACATTCTGATCCGGATTAAATCCTCGGTGGAAACCGCCACTGGTTGCATTCAGCGGATTCGATAGTTGCGTGAACGCTTGCTGCTATTGATGTATTCTTCCAGATCTAAAATGCTGATTGGATGAGAAGAGTACACCAATAACAGCGAGCGCTCATTCACTATTGAATCCATTGAACGCCATTCGGTGTTTGCTGAAGGGCTGTGTCAGATTTCCTAACTTCAATACTCGTCAACTTTAACGCTCAATAACTCGGTTTGTTGAACAATCTTGGAGTTTTTTCCGTCAGATTTTTCTTCATAAAATATAAAATAAATATTTTATATTTTTTTAATAGATACATTTTTTGAATAGATAAATATATAGGTATGTATGTTCTTTTTAAACACTAAAATAAAATATTTGAATATTCAATTGATTTGTTATATCTTTTTAATTTGTCAGCAGATTATTATACACATTGCGAAAAAGAATATGAGTACAGAGAGAAGTTTAAAAAAGCAATTATTACCACGATACTAAGAAAAAGACTTGTCTTCTTACGAATTTGATTCCAGTTCATCATTTGATAGTGAAAGAGAAATTTTGTTAATACTTTGCTCAGAAAAAGAGGCCAATCGAATCCAAAATTATATTGAATAAACCGTTCATCATTTCAGCAACAAAGAATTTCAGGCAAATTTTAAAATCATGCGTGAAACTTGTCAAAGTTTACTCTATCATCGGTCCAAAGAGAGAAAATTCTACTGGAACTGGAAGATTAGTGATTCCAGTTGAGAAGCAATTATTAGCAGTAATATGACTCTTAGCGACATCAGATTCTAATAGATATGTATGTTAGCATTTTATTAATTTGTATTATTATATTATATTATTTGTATTATTGTACATCAATTTTCATCGAAAATAAATTTTTACTTTTGAACAACTCTTTGATAAAAAATTTCACTGTAAATTTTCAAAAAGCATCTGAATTAAATGGGATCAAAAATTAGGGATCCATCGGTACCTTCTATGACTTTATAGGAAATATAAGATTGTAACATCTTATTGTTAGATATTGATGATTTTATGAAAGATAAAATTTCGCTGCAGTATAGCGGTAAACTACAAGACTTACAAAACTCATGTATAATGTGAAAAATATGCGTTTCTGCGCATGACGAGTAAACTCTATCTCAGTCACGGATAGGTACGTTGAGAAATGCCCTGAGTAATCCTTAAAAAGCTTTGTGAGCGTTTGTGGATAAAGGTAACTTTTCCATTTTCGATTTTCTGAACGGGGTCAAAAACACTTTAACCGGTCAGAGACACCCTATGGATAATGTTTATGAACGCCCAAATGGAAAGCATCCAATATTTCAATCATGAAACTTTTTCCTATGAAAAGTGAAAAATTTCTACTTTTAGTAAAAATTTTTATTTTTCACTTTTTATCCTAGGAAGAAAGTTTCATGATTGATACCCTGCTTTTTGTGATTGTGTTTATAGACATAATATCACTAGACTGAGCATTCGAGGAGTGGAGGTAATCCTCATGTAGAAAAGGACGCACTTATTCGGTCTAGAGTACTTATAATCATGGTATAAGAATATAAGGTATTTCATTGCGCATAATGACCGGCAGACTAAATTAGAACAACCAATCAAATATTTATCCTAAATCAGAATAATCAAATGCTTATCTTAAATTTAGGACAAATTTTTTGGTCTGTTCCTGTACTAGATTGTATTAGAGTCTCTTTCTCGCTTTCGACAAACTATACCTATTTTACTTTAAGTTCCAAAAGTGTACACTGGTTTAGCCACAAAAACAAACCTTTTGATTGGTCAGAGCCACCATGTTAAAGATGATTGCGTTTCTTTGAGAATGAAATCCCTTATATTCTTACCATGCCTATAATATTGGGTCATCTAAAAAGTATCCGCGTTTGTCACTAGAGGTGTGTTGATGGTCGTATATCTAGTGACAAAGTACCGCGGATACTTTTTAGATGACCCAATATAATAATAGCGTATTCGATTTACTGACTCGACCCGATTCCGAGTCAATGATCTGTTCTGTTTAGCTGCAAAAGAAGAGCTAATTCATAATCAGACCTTGTACTTAAGGCTTCCTTAAATTTATCTTTAGATGCTCAATAGCCAATGAAATAATCTGATGAGTATGAAGATAAATTTAAGGAAGCCTTAAATATAAGGCCTGACTATGAATACGGTCATAAATTGTGCAAGAAATGCAGCTAAAAAGAACAGATTTTTAACTCGGAGTCGGGTCGAGTAAATCGAATACGCTATTATATTGGGTCATCTAAAAAGTATCCGCGGTACTTTGTCACTAGATATACGACCATCAACACACATCTAGTGTCAAAAAACCGCGGATACTTTTTAGATGACCCAATATTATAGGCATGGTAAGAATATAAGGGATTTCATTCTCAAAGAGACGCAATCATCTTTAACATGGTGGCTCTGACCAATCAAAAGGTTTGTTTTTGTGGCTAAACCAGTGTACACTTTACTCGAATAATACTTAATTCACACTGGATGCAGCAAGTGTCAAGTAGCGGAGCAGCAATCATTCAGTCCAGTGAATTAAGCATAAAAGTATGACCAATAAAATAAAGCGATCGGTAATTGGTCCGCCAAATTAAGGCAAAAGCGGAAGTTGCATATCCGTATGTACTGTCAGTGTACATCATTTATACTGAATGAGTTTTGTGTGTGTCAGAGATGAGTTGTTTGTTTGCTGGTCATTTTATTTGTGAGTCATTCAAATTGAGAAGAAGGAGAGGTGAATAGCGAATGGATTGGAGTGGAATTACATATTCTTTTAATGAAATAAGAATTTCTTGTGTAATTATTATAACTTAATCTATTGGGTTGACCATCAACACCATCTAGTGACAAAAAACCGCGGATACTTTTTAGATGACCCAATATTTGACACATTATAGAACTATAATACAATGCCTGACTGTGTAGCAGATTAGTGCACAAATATTGCGAAAAAAGGTTTTAAGATGTGTCATTTTTCTCGAGGCCCAAAAAGACGAAAAATTTGGGCTGAAACATAGGACAACAAGATTAGACCATATTATTCCAGGTACATTTTAATGCAGAAATATGGCCTGAATTGAAGACGCAACGGCAAACGTATGCTGAAAAAAGATACTATTCCAACTGTGTTTGGTGAACTTGTACTTCAGAATATACAGGAAGATGTATATAGGATATAGGATTGATTTATTATTTGGTATTATTATGCAATTCTATCATCACTGATAATATTTTGGATGTAAATTGACAAAATGTATAAATCAAAAAATATTAGGTGTTGGAATTAATTCGTAGCGTTTTACAAGTGATGGGAAGTACTTTCATTAATGTATTTTTTAATGCTCATGTGAAATAAATAACATTCTTTCATTAAAAAACGCTACGAATTAATTCCAACACCTAATATATTAATAATAAAGTACTATAATAAAATACTATAATAAATATATCTAATAAAAAATTAAATATACTCCCAAAAATCTAGTTAATATTCCTAAAATCTTACTTTTAAGCTTATTTATTTTCATACTATTTATTTTTAAATAAATTTAACTTTCATTCTATTTATGTTTACCTCTGTTGTTACTCTTCTTTAATTTATTCATTATAAAATTTCACTTTAAATCCGAAGCGTCACTACGGTCTAAGTATTAAAATGTTGAACTAATATATATTAGGTGTTGGAATTAATTCGTAGCGTTTTACCAGTGATGGGAAGTACTTTCATTAATGTCTTTTTTAATGCTCATGTGAAATAAATAACATTCTAAAACGCTACGAATTAATTCCAACACCTAATATATTTTTTAAACGAATGAATTAATTTCAGAAATGATAATTACGTGTCGATATGGTTGTCGATATTAACGCAATTGATCTGAAATGTTAATAATCCCCCCAAAATTCCCCAAATTAATCTTAAAAAACCGTAGACCGTAGTGGCGCTTCGGATTTAAAGTAATGTTAATTAACATAAACGGTCTTGTTTTCCTATCTTATTCATTATAAAATTATTGGCTCTTTCCTTCTGCGTTCAGCAGAATATTTATTTTGCAATTGTTGGAAATTTTCTTTGCGCTGATTGAATTATATTTTTAGATCTAGAGGAATAATCTTATCTCAGCAGATTCATAAAACAACATTGTTGCATTCTGCTGAACGCATTTATTGTTATATGTATGTAATACAATTTCAGTTTTACACTTTAGGTTGTGCTCCAAAATTTACTACCACTACTGAAAATCTATAGTTTACGTTATATATAGATTTTTAGTACTAGCAAATTTTTGAACATAGAGTCAGTCATCAATTTCAGTTAAGCCAGTTTCATCAACTTCAGTTAAGCTTATCCGTTGATTCAAAGACATGGAGAATGGACAAGATTCATGTGTCAAAATCGTCGCTAAAAATAAGAGAGAGGGACCGTGGAAGACGGCCATCTCTGTCTTTTTCCATTCAATGATATAAGAGATGGGAGAGAGAATGAGAGAGAAATTGGCCATCTTCCACATTCTCATTCCCTCTTTCTCATTATTGTTGACCATATTTGAATATTACTTAGATAGGGATTGCGCAGTCCATTCTCTATGTATTTGCGTTGATTAATTTTATCATCAGAATAATCAACAGCAAGACTTAAAAATCTGCCTTTCTAACTTATTGTTGTTAGTAATAATAAAGAAAAAGTATTGTGTGGAGATAATAAATAAAACATTGAAATGTAAATATATTTTTTACAAATATATACTTTCGAAATTAGATTAGAGATAATGAGTTTTCAGTTTAGCAATTGGCAATACTCAAAGTTAATCGGTGGATAAAGTAACTGACGTTGGTGAAACTGACTCATAGCTTCAGTTTTACATTTCACATTTGAAAACGCGCGCGCGTTTCGACACGGTTTCGGTTTTGCTTTATTTACACTCTATTGGCCGTACTCTTAGCTCGGGTCCTCAACTCTAATACCGCAGATTGGTGAAAAGCCGCTTGCGCGCTAAAATTGATCCCCATCGCCCGTTTTTCACCAATTAGCGTTCAATGTCAGAGCACTGTTGTCCGTATAAGGATCCGGGCTTATTGATCGCGTTCAACAGACTCAATTGTGTGGAACAGATCCGTGAGCGCTCACTACTATTGGTATATTCTTATATATCATACAATAGATGGCTCAAACCTGAAATAAGGAAAACATTAAATGGAGAAGCAATTTTTAAACTATTTTTATTTGGATTCTGCATAGTATTATTACGATAAACGTTCACTTCGCACAATTTTAAATTATCCAAGGATCTTGATGCGTTCTCGCCCAAAGCAGAATCTGCCCATGCATTTCGATATTGGTCTTCTTTGGGAAATCTGACCAATGTGTATCCTCGGATTTATTAAAACATCTGGATGCACAACAAATATGGTATCACCAATATATATAAAATCTAAATCTACGACAAGAGAATTACATTATTAATGAAACAGGTACCTCTAATTTCCGTACTACTTATTTTTAATAATGGACAAGTTCAAGACGGCAAAGCATTTAAGAATACTTACCGAACGATTGAATATGATTGGTTGGATCTATAATAACAACCAATTATGTTCATTTGCTTGGCGAGTAGGCTAGCCGTTTTGTCAACTTGAACGTGCCCAATGAAGTGTTTATTAATTCAAAGTTTATTCGTGATAATATATACATTACTTTTTCTCACAATTTTACATAAATGTAATAAATTAACTTACCAAAAATAGTCAAAACAATAGCTGTTCTAACATGTAATACGCATATTCTATCAGAATAGGTTGAGGTTATAGTACATTTTCATGGAGCACAAATGTGCGATCCATATTCCAGTCAGAATCATCCACAGTCACGTGACGAGTTGAGGAATCTCTCTTTTTAAGGACTCTAATCCGCTCTGTAATAGTTGAGTCTGCTGAATTGCAACTATTAGGGGCTCCGCACAATAAAAGGAATAGGGAACAGAGAATAGAGAATAAGAATTTCAACTTATCAGAAATCATGTATTGTGGAATACTGTCACGTCCGCAATAATTTCATTTTTATCCGATGACTTTTCCGAACAAACTTACTAACAGCCCCGAGGTATACGCGGGCATCTCTTGGAAAACGTTCCTAAGGGTGCAATTATATGGAGGGCGGTACAATAACTAATAGTAACTAATTAGGCAACTAGGAAACCGCATACCACGTACTGCCTATTTCTTTCACTGATATTACATGGAGCCATACTACTATATTGCTAACGCAGCCTCTTTTTGAGAGTGTGCCAAGATAGAAAATCGACTTCTCGCTTCCACAATTCGTGTACTTTGAATGCACATGCGAGGAACGTATGCACGCGCACTCATGGCACGTATTGTAGAGATTAGATATTATAAAGTATAATTAAAAGAAATACGAAGTCTAAAATATATAATTGTTAAAATCACATTTGATTTCTTAGTAATTTCTCTTTAACATTTACATCCAAAATAAGTGTTAAATGTCTTCTAATTGTAAATTACTGGTTCGACGGCAACTGTAACTTTTTACAGAGAGTTTAGATCGAGTAACGCCTTTTCCCATGATTGAAAAAAAAAACATCTTTCCGTCGAATATGGCCAACCCTGTATTAATTATTAATAAATATAATTACAATTTATTTCAAAAATATAGAAATAGTAATATTGAAAAAAAAATATTTATTGTACTGTTTTTATTTGAATGTTAATATCTCTGTATATATAAAATTAATTTTATACCATTGTAATTTTATTTTATTATATATATTAGGTGTACAACTTTACTTCCGTCGTTTTTTTTTTCTGAAATTCGAGGCTTTATTGTAAAAAACTGATTATACATTTATGATTCAAAGTATTATCCATCGCAGGCCACTACTTTCTTCCATCTTTCAGGCAGCGTACGAATCCCGCGTCGAAAAAACTGGTCATCTTTTGAGGCAAATCGATCCACGAATCGATCCAATTTTTTACTTCTTCATAAAACCGGAAGTGCTGGTCAGCCAGGCCGTGTGCCATTAATCGAAACAAATGATTGTCAGAGGGAGCAATATCTGGAGAATATGGCGGGTGGAGTAGAACTTCCCATTTCAACGTTTCCAAGTATGTCTTGATCACTTTCGCAACATGGGATCGAGCATTGTCATGCTGCAAAATCACTTTATCGTGTCTCT